ATTGTCGTTTCGTTTTCGCCATTACGCAGCATTTGGAGGCCTTATGGTCAAGCCATGTACGTTACCATGAGTTGTTGATTTTTTTTTAGGAACATATCTGTTGTACTCGGCCGCTCGAATGTCCAAACGGTATGAAGGCACTTAGAGAAAACGGTGAGATTACTGTAACTTATTCAAGTGAGCAATATTTCGATGTTTTTCACTGCTTATCCTAGCAAATCCCTCACCTTTATTTGTTCCCTCAATTTGTTCAGCAGATCCCTCAAATCCGACTTTTCTCCTCGTCTGTGTGCCTTTCTCTTGTTTACAACTCATTTACATATATTTAGGCGGACGACCGCGAGCTTGTACGCTAGGAGTCGAGGGTAATTGCCCAAGTGATCACGTATGTGTCCTAGGCGAAGGTTGGAGCCTAAATGTGCAGTCCTGATTTCATTTATCAACTGAGCAGGGAAATACAGAAGCGGGGAATGCTTTTCACACAAAGTGAAACCTTTTCAGGAATGACCGTATCCAGTGGAGCACGGCACCTGTGCTGTCGACCCGAGAAGGTCTGCATCGTTCCTTACGTGGACATTACAAAAAAGCGACCACAACGATGTTTTCCCGGTACTTTTTGATATTTTGCTAGGACTTCCCGCTTTGTTCGTACCCTGTTGGTATACGCCACGCACTGAGCTTTCGTTTAAATTGGACTAGTTGGAGTTATCCCAAAAACAGCCGAGAGTTGTAATCATCAGGTTAAAGAAGAAAGTGTGAGCTGGTCTGTTGGGCCAGTTTCAGGCCTTCTGAAGCGATACAACGAATCCAGCCGTTACGATTTCTTCTTTTTGCACAAAACGCTGCTCTAGTTCAAGTCGAGCTTTATTAATACCGGCATTTCTTGTTCTGAAGGGAAACTCGACTAGCAGTTAGGTTTCTCGCCAGAATAGGCAATAATACATATCTACCCGACTCTCACAAGGTCACAGTCTGCGGTGATCGTGTAGGCAGAATCAAGCTTCCCGTTGTGTTGTCCTTGATGTCCCTTCCTTCTCAACACGGTAAAGACGAGCGGAGGGCCAGTGAGGGGACACAATGGTCATGAGTCTTCGCCCATCAGATTGTCGCAGAATATGCCTCTAAAATGTTGACGGATAATTCATATACGCTGATTCGCTGCAGATGAAGGGGCGTGTCAGGCAGTGAGTGTACCACAGCGCCAAACTCGTTCTCTGCCAGTTCTTGAAGCGGGAGTGTTACTGCACCTGGTAGATATCGAGTGATACGAGCTACATGATACAGTATTCTCACTTGCTCGCTTCAACAACTGGTGGAGAACGAGCTTGGCACCGCGTCAAATTCATCCCGCCTGATACGCCTCTTCGTCCGTAGCGAACTAGACTATAAGGTGAGGAGGAGTTGCTTGATTTGATTTATTGAGTATTTGATCGCTTAGGATGGGTTGGGTCTATAGATTTTTGGATTGGGTGAACAACGAAAGCATCTTATTACCCGGGGTCTTTAGGTTCCGACGATCGATGAAGTGTGTAAAGTTGAGTACATTAACGCAGCATGTGAGAGTGAGTACATTCGTGAGTTGATTTGTGATTGATTATAAAGCGAGGATTGAGGAACGATAAATCATATGTGTCTTTCGAGTAGAGAGCCATTGAGAACCCGCGACGACGTGCTATATCACGGCGCATCTTGTGGTATTCAAGGGTGGAGTACATGACTCTCAGACGTGCCAAAAAGGGGTTGAGTAACTCATTATCATGCACAACAAAAAAAGTCTCAACAAAAAATCTGTCACTGCTTCCCACAGAGTAGTAACCCAAACCAGCTCCGTTTCGATACATTTTGTACGTGCCAAATCAACTCTATTCCAACACACTCAACGCACATCACATATCGCACACGACTCGCATTCACCGATGAGATTCACGATTGTTAACATGAGAGTGGTGAGAAGCTTTTTCGTCCTGGCAATCGCATTTTTGTCACTGGAAGCCCGGTCATTAGAGGCGGAGTCTGGAGGCGGAGTCACTGGAAAAAAGGAGGAGCCAGTTAACCTATATTGCGCTACAGCGCCCCTCTAATAGAACTGTTTGCCGCGAAACCGTGGTGAAGGAAGGGTTGTTATAGCTCGCAGCGGCAATCATACTCCATAGGAACATAATAATTTGTGGACAGTACTCCGATCAACTGATCGCAACGGTTGCTCTTTTATAAAGGCGAAGTAGGCAATCAGAACGCGCGGCCCTGATGACGAAATAACGCGCAGCGGTTCTCCAATGAGTGTGTGTGAGTGGGCCAAGTGAATACATGGGAGAAGGGGATTGGCATGAAGCGACTGCGCATCTCCCGTGGATATATGAGCGTATCTGTGCGACAGAGTACAGCATCGTTGTCCTGAAACACGTAGGGTGCGTACTTTATTTTTGCGAGTGGGAGAGAGAGAGGGGGTGGTCGGCATGGGTGGTTCGTGTTGGAGAGGGTGGTTGTATCGTGTCATTAACGTGCAAGTGTTGTGGGAAGAGATCTTTTGTGTTGCGTGTGTTAGACCTTCTGTGTGTTCCTGTTATTGCTATAAGCTAGAGCCCACCCGGCCGTGTAGATGGAAAAATACTTTGTTGAGTGAACATAAGTGGAAAAATGTGATCGGTAGGTAAGTGCTGGAAGGGGAACAGGGGAGGGGGGGGTCCATACCAGTCGTGCCTACATCACCATTTCACACATCACGAGGCTGTACTCTGCGTGCAGCCCGTTTATTGGCAAGATGCCTACGGGAAACTCGTCCGAAATTGCTTTTCAAGTCATTAGAACGAAGGCTTTTCTTCGCAGGTTCTTGATCGTTTCACTTCGTTTTTCGCCATTTTCCCACTATATGGCACCCTGCTAGCATTTTAGACCGGGCTCTGTGGT